TTCTATTTTGAAGCTCTGAAAGTCCCATATCTAAGAATTTTGAGTATTTTTGTTAGTGTCTATTGTTTTCCTTTGTGTGTGCATGTGTGTGTTTGTTTGTGGAGGCAGTGGTATCTCTGTTGAGTATCTTCCTGTTGTAAAGGGAGCGGCGGGTGCCGCCCCGCTCCCAGTCACCTGGCTAGCTTATACCCCAAAATAACAACACACAAATTGTTTTCATTTAAACACTGCCTGGCCCATTAGTTCTAGCCTCTTGTTGGCTAACTCTCACATCTTGATTCAACCCATTTCTAGTAATCTGTATGTCACCATGAGCTCGTGCTTTACTGGGAAGATTCAGCATGTCTGACCTGGCAGCTTCATGGCAGGCGGCTCTCTCTGTCTGCCTCCTTTCTCCCAGCATTCTGTTCTGTCTACCACGCCCATCTAAGGGCTGGGCCCTCCCGCATTGACCACTAAATGAGAAACTGCCTTACCACCAGATCTCATTGGGGCATTTCATTAACTGAGGTTCATTCCTCTGATGACTCTAGCTTGTGTCAAGTTGACACACAAAACCAACCAGTACACAGCCTTTGCATGACTTTGGTCACAAGGCGGTCCTGGCACACCTGGAGTGGCTTGCATTATTGGGTACTGCACACATTAAACAATAAGTACTAACATTGCAGAGGTATGATGTTTTTCTTTGGAAATCAAGCAGATTAGCTCAGGGCTTTGGTATGGGGAACTTGTTTTACCCCTAAAACAACTTTGTGTAACAATTAATAAACAGGCCTTTGCACAGCACTTCGAGGTTCAATTCATAGAAACTTGCTCCCTGTTGCCAGAGAGCCTGAATTACATTCTGGAGTTATCCTCTTTCTTTGACTGACCCTTGCAACACAGAGCCTATCTATTTAAGGTCTCTGGGCTATTCTGACCATTGAGACTGTCATGCATGGGCTCCCTCCCATGGCATGGGACCAGTCATTGGTGGGCCACTTCCACAAGTTCTGCACCTCCATTACCCCAGCATATCTTGCAGGCAGAATAGATTGTCTGTCAAAGGTTTTGTAGCTGGTTTGGTGTCCCGGTGCCACCACTGGAAGCCTTACCTTGTTACAGAAGTTGTCTGGTTCAGGCTCCATGTCCTCCATTACTAGGAATCCTTATTAGGGTCACCTTCATAGATGCCTGGGAGTTTCTACTGTATAAGGTTTCCACATTGTCCCTCAAATACCTTCCAGTTCTCTCCCTGTATCCCTCCCTGACAACCTGATTCCTTCTGTTCCCATCTCGACCTGCCCCAATCCACACACAACATTTATTATATTTCCCCTTCCCTTGGAGATCCATGCATTCTTCCCCCTTAGAGTCCTCCTTGTTACTTAGCCTCTCTGGGCCTTTGGATTACAGCATGATTATAATTTACTTCACAGCTAATATCTACTTATAAGTGAGTACATACCGTGCTTTTCTTTCGGGGTCTCAGTCACCTTACTCAGGATGATTTTTTTTTTCTAGTTGCATCTATTTGCCTGAAATTTCATGATGCCATTTTTAATAGCTGGATAATACTTCATGGTGTAAATATACCACATTTTATTTATTCATGTCCCGTGTTGAGGGACATCTGGATTGTTTCCAGTTTCTGGCTATTATGAATAACAGTGCTATGAACTATGTTCAACATAGTTGAACAAGTGTCTTTGTAGTAGAATGGAACATCTTTTGGGTACATGCCCAAAAGCAGTATAACTGGGTCTTGAGGTAGAGCAATCAATTCCCAATTTTCTAAGAAACTGTCATATTGATTTCCAAAGTGGGTGGACAAGTTTGCACTCCCACCAACAGTGGAGGAGTGTTTCCCTTGCTCCACATCCTCATCAGCAAAAGCTGTCACTTGTGTTTTCATCTTAGCCATTCTGACAGGTAGAAGATAGAATCTCAAGTAGTTTTGATTTTCATTTCCCTTAGGGCTAAGTTAAGGGTGTTGAACATTTCTCTACGTGTTTCTCAGCCATTTGAGATTTCTCTATTGATAATCCTGTTTAGATATGTCTGCCATTTTTTAATTGAATTATTTGGTTTGTTGATGTCTAGTTTCCTGAGCTCTTCGTATGTTTTGGATATTAGTCCTCTTTTGGATGTGGAGTAGGTGAAAATCTTTTCCCAGTCTGTGGGCTGCCACTTCCTGTTGATGGTGTCCTTTGCCTTACAGAAGCTTTTCAGTGTCCTGGAGTCCCATTTATTATTTGTTGCTCTTAGAACCTGTTCTATTGGTGGAACTATACGGGTTCTGGAACCTGAACTCAGGTCCTCACACATGTGCTTTATCCAATGAGCCATCTCCCTAGCCTTAGATACATTAAATATAAATAAAATATGTTTTGGAAAACTGATCAAAGGTGATATGAATTGGTTGGCAATGACTTGTAAAAAAGGATGATTTCTTAAGGAGGCCAGTGTATTTATTTGTAATATGGCTATAAAGCAACAAAAATAGTTTAAACTGTATTTTTAAATACTGGAATAACTTTATCGTAAATATTTGGAATCAAAACTTTCTGAGCAGCAAGGCCTGGTAGCACATGTCTTTAATCCCAGCGCTCATGAAGCAGAGGCAGGGGGACCCGTGTGAGTCTGAGGCCAGACTGGTCTACATATTGAGTTCTAGGCCAGTCAGGGTTACACAGTGAGACTCAGTCTCAGGCATTTAAAATATATAATATATGAGCTCAGTATCATCAATTATGTCAGAATTTTCTAGGCATAGTGCTCAGTACTAGCTGCAACTCCTTTTGTGGGTCCTTTATCCAACACCTTGCTCTTTTTTTTCTATTATCTAATTATCTGAAACTTTAGAGGAGTAGGCCCCGCCCAGTGAGGGTATGTGGCTGCCCTGGTCCTATGGCTGAGATCCCGGGAACTGGGAGTGACATCATCTTCAACAATAAAATGCTCCTCTGGGCGAGCAAAGGCCTACACAAGAAATGCAGATTTGAGGAGCTGCAGCCCAGTTCATCCACCATCTCATTCCCTCCAGTTTGATACAACACCAGCCGGTGGCACTCCCAAAGGATCGCCTCTGAAGTCATCGCGTGGTAAGGCCACCTCTTAGTCGCCCTTTTAGTTTCTGTGAGATTTAGATAATTGAACAAGTTTTTAATACATAACATTTTCTTCTAACAATATGCCATTTTTATTGTAAACTCTTAAGGGGAGATAAATTTTGCTAAATATAGCAATAAAATAAATTTATGGTAAGAAAGTCATGAATCATCTATTTTTACGATGAAAGCTTCTTGCAAAACCACCTGAAAATACAGAAAATTGGTGAACATTAGCATGATACACTTTAGCGACCTCATTATTATTCAAAAATTTGGAATAAAAAGCAAACTGGTAGAGAGACAATAATTCTGATGTAAAAAGTTAGCAATAATTTATCATGTGGAGTGTATGTTTATTTTCCTGTAGGGTATTCTTATTTGTATTTTAAATTCTATGGCTTCTAAGAAGCTTAGCCTGCATACTAAGGTTGCAAAATTTTCCTTTCACTGCTGAATATTCATGGCTTTTACATAAAGAACAGCATTTCCTAATTTGAAATCGTGCAGGCATTTAAGGATGCTACACGGTCTTTCCAATTCTTTTCACGGCATCCCTGTATAAGAAGTCTTTCCTCCTCAAAAGAAGAAGAAATAAAGTGGAGATGTCACTAGGTCACCTGACTGATAGGACTAGACGTCAGTGCTCCTGTCCACCAGCTACAGTGCTTGTGACCGAGCCCAGATGTTCCTGCTACTCCATCCATCCATAGCTGTGCGGTGTGCAGTGATGAGAAGCGGAGCCAACTAGAAGGTCTCCTGCTTCTGTTAAGGATGGAGTTTCCATTTTACAAAGAAAAAGAATTCCTATTATGTGCGTCACTTAAAAAGTAGAATAGTTACTATTTTTTAAAGGCGCTACTGTAACAAATCTCTGCAACTGTGGACCTACAGGTTCAGCCAAAAATGTACATATTGACTTATGAGCAAAAAGAAAGAATTAGAAGTTATACTAAGCTGTAACTGTTAAGTGGAAGTCATAAGGTGCATTCATTTTTTAAGGGTCAAAGTTCCAAGAACAATATTTAAGAAATTAATTGATTTTAAATGTATTGACATATTTGTGTGTGATATGTGTATATGAGGCCAGAGGTTAATGTTGGATGTCTTCGTCTCTCATTATCCACCTATTTTTTTTGAAACATTCCCAATACTAGAATTACAGGTGCACTGTTACTGTGGGTACTAGGGTCTGAGTTCAAGTCCATGACTACACAGCAAGCCCTTAACTAACTGAGCCTACTCCTAGCCATAACACACATTTTTGTCATTGTAAGAGGTGTGTACATTATTAATAAAGTAAAGACATCAAAATTAAACCTTATACTTGGACATGGTGACGAATGCCTGAAACCCCAATGTGCCAGAAACCAAGACAGGAGGACTGTAACTTCAAGATCAGCCTGGGCTACATAGCAAGATCTCATGATAAATATAAAACCCAACAAATTTAGTATTTATGGTTGCTTGTGATAGTATCAAATAATCATGAAAACAGTGTTTGCTCACTAAAGTGATAATTTACCTAATTAATAGATAAGGGAATTTCAAGCATATCACAAACACGTAGGCATAGCCAACTTAAAAGAGGGAAGAAATAGAAAAAAAAAATTCTCCACTCATCACGTGCTTAAAATTTCATGTTAAAATTTGCACAAGAAATTCAGAAAACCACCTAAGAAAGGCATGTATCCAATGTCTCTAAGTTATGGGTGCCTGTTATATTACTAATGTATCCATCATTTAAAGAGGCTGATTCCAAAGACGCATGAAGAAACAGCTCGGCTGATCACTGCGACCTCGGCTAACTGCTGATTGCTTAAGTAGTAATGAACAACGGCTACCAGGACTAGAACACTGACAGTATTTTAAACTTTCTCAATGTTGCTTCTCCTTTTAGTAAAGACGATGTCTGCGAAAGCGATGGCTAAAGTCATGATCGTCATGCTGGCAGTTGGTCTTCTTGCCCAAATAGACGGGAAACCCGTTAAGTAAGTGCTGCAGCCCGCTCTGCACGGGGGAGACGTGGACTGGAGGGTCTGCGGTAGGTTCTTATGATGCGGGCATGAGGAGCTGATGGAATGATCCTGTCTTTCTCTTCCTTCTAGGAAGAGAGCTGTCAGTGAAATACAGCTGATGCACAACTTAGGCAAGCACCTGGCCTCTATGGAGAGGATGCAATGGCTGAGAAAGAAGCTGCAAGATGTACACAATTTTGTCAGCCTTGGAGTTCAAGTGGCTGCCAGAGATGGTGGTTTCCAGAGGCCCACCAAGAAAGAGGAAAATGTCCTTGTTGATGGCAACCCAAAAAGTCTTGGAGAGGTAGACAAAGCTGATGTGGATGTATTAGTTAAGGCGAAGCCTCAGTAAGGGCAACATCATATGCCGCGACCTTTTCAAGCTCCGCGAAGATCGCCAAGTGCTAATATCACTGTAATGAAAATCGGGAATGTTTTGATTCCACTTTTGCTCATTTAAGGTCTCTTTCAATGATTCCATTTCAATAAGTTCTTTTAAAAATATATTACTGCAGAACTTATAAGAGAATAAATTACACATTTCCACTTCTCTCCTTAAATACAAAATAAAGCTTTAGTGATCATGAATCAAATAAGTAGTGTTTCTTACTTGTTTTTTGTTTGGTTGGTTTTTGCTTTGTTTTGTTTTGTTTTTTTTTGGTTTTCTGAGACAAGGTTTCTCTGTAACTTTGGAGTCTGCCCTGGAACTAGCTCTTCTAGCTCAGGCTGACCTTGAACTCACAGAGATCCTCCTGCCTCCAGGATTAAAGTGCTGGGATTAAAGACTTGCACCACCACCACCCAGTGCGTGTTTCTTACTTGTTAAAACTGTTCCTCAGGGCTGGAGGGCTGGCTCGGAATTTAAAAGCACATACTGCTCCCTCAAATGTCTTGAGTCGGTTCCCAGGATCTGCATCAGGTGGCTCACAGTCACCTGTAAGATGAATTCCAGGAGGATCCAATGTCCTTGGCCTCTGCTGGTGCCTACGCTTGTATACACACACCCACATACATTTAAGTAATTTAAAGTAACAAAAATCTAAGTAAATCCCATGTCTCTTGTCACAGTGCATCCCAAATAATTTTATTGGCATGGATTTGTAAAACAACACAAGAAAACATTTTCTTAACTCATTTACCAAAGTTTGATATTTTGAACATTGTCTGTTTTTTTGTCTTTTTATTATTTTTATTAATTTATTTATTAAAATTTCCACCTCCTCCCCTCCTCCCATTTCCCTCCCACTCCCTACTCCCCCTCCCCCTCCCTCTCCAGATCTAAGAGCAGTCAGGGTTCCCTGCCCTGTGGGAAGTCCAAGGTCCTCCCCTCTCCATCCAGGTCTAGGAAGGTGAGCATCCAAACAGACTAGGCTCCCACAAAGCCAGTCCATGCAGTAGAATCAAAACCCAGTGCCGTTGTCCTTGAGGCCTCAGTCAGTCCTCATTGTCAGCCACATTCAGAGAGTCCGGTTTGATCACCTGCTCCTTCAGTCCCAGTCCAGCTGGCCTTAGTGAGCTCCCATTAGATCAGCCACACCGCCTCCGTGGGTGGACGCACCCCTCGCAGTCCAGAGTGCTAGATCTCCAAGTTCACACTAGCTGTGTATTGTTCGCCCCTTCTTTTCAGAAAACCCAGTGAAGTACTTAAGAAACAGGGTAGAAAGTGGTCTAAGATTGGACAACAAAGCATTTGCCATCACAAAACTCAGTGTGTATCTATACTCTGAACTCCAAACTGCAAAGAATAGAAATACAGAGTTTATTCATTATTTATCAGATCATTGTTGGTGCCCATTGTGGGTGATGTACTCACTTATCTTGTATTGCACAGACATGGTTCTTGTCTCCATAGAGTGCCCAAACTTAAGCATTCGTTCATACTAACTTTGAGAACTTCTAAGTATGAGAAACACCATATACTACAGAGGTGCAAAATACAGAACCTGTGGTATGTAGATCAGTGATATTGTACACAATATTGTACAATACTGGAAATATTCCATGTTCTTCTGCCTATAATGATAGTCACATTCGTGTTCATCTAAAATGTGGCTAGTGTAGTTGTGAAAACTGATTTAACATTTTGTGTGATTGATTTAAACATCAGTACTGGACCTCCAAGCTATTGGTCCTCTAAACACCCACGTTTCCACTCCAGCCATTTAGTGCCATGAATGAGATATTACATATGCCTGTGATAAGAGCGAACACATTTGTTCGTTCTTTCTTTTCAAAATAGTAAAACTTACTATTTAGAAGTTTTTAGTTAAACGTATGTACGCTTTATTTAAAAAAATAAAGAGAAAAAGACTGGCTGTGGTGACACACGCCTTTGATCCCAGCACTCAGGAGGCAGAGGCAGCGAAAGCTCGGCAAGCCCCAGGCCAGCCCGGCCACACATCAAGTTCCAGCCCAGTCAGGGCTGCATAAGGAGAGCGTCTCACAAGAATAAAGGGGGCAGATGCACTTATTGTTCAGGTGATGCAGTGAACTTTGCCAGTCCTTCTTTGATCACGGAGCCTGTTTTTGCCCAATTTTATTTCTTCTCTTGTACTAAATATTTTTCAGGCTAACTAATCTAATGTTATATTTTCATATATTTTGTTTTGCAAGACACAGAGTCAGTCTTTTTAGTCTAAGTCCAGTTTTCCCATTTTCATGTTTGCACTAGTAAGCATCTAAATTAGTTTAGATAATGAAATTGATATTAGAATGATACAAAAGCTTTTCAACTACATTAACTAGAAACTAAATTAATTAATTAATTAGTCAATTAATTTTTTATACGGAGTCTCTCAATGCTGCTGTGGCTGTTCTAGAACTCTCTATGTAGACCAGGCTGGTCTCAAACTCATAGAGATCTGCCTGCCTCGACCTCCCAAGTGCTGGGATTAAAGGTGTGTGACACCACGTCTGGCAACATGATGTCACCAGAATGACTACTGGATATGTGGAGAGGTTTGTGGGGTGGCCATGGGCTCCACTTCTACCACATCATCCCCATTATAGGAGTATGGGAATATTATGGATGGCCAGATCTGGAAAAGCTGACATTCTCTTTTTAGACACAACTGAAAAATTAAAATTACTTATTAGCTTTAGGACAAATTATTATCTTTACTATTTCATTTAGTTCATCTAGACTGTATGGTTTCTAATTGGCTCTTTTTATGCTTTTTTTTAAAAAGGTTACATTTTCTTTGGATTTTATGCAACTCATGTTGGTCACTAAGTACTATACAGATCTGCATCTATCCTGCAGGTCACTTAAAGTTTTATTATTTTGCTAGTTGGTAATATTTTTGTGCAGAAGAATATTCAAGTTTTCTCCTACACCCAATAATCTTGTAGGATCCCTTTACTAAGTAAAATTGTTTATCTTTTGATGAAATTTATTTTTCTAGACCATTAATCATGCCAAATAATGGCACAGTTATCTCTTTCCTCCCTCTTATTACACATCTTTGTTTCTTATAGTTAAATACAGTACCTATAATTTTTTATTTTTAATTCATAAAGGATGATACTTTTTTTTCTTAATCTATTCTCGACCTTAAAATTGTTGTGTTGCCAGGCAGTGGTGCCGCACACCTTTAATACCAGCACTCAGGAGGCAAAGGCAGACAGATCTCTGTGAGTTCGAGGCCAGCCTGGTCTACAAGAGCTGGTTTCAGAACAGGCTCCAAAACTTCAAAGAAACCCTGTCTCGAAAAACCAAAAGTAAGTAAATAAATAAATAAAAGGTGATGTGTTAATAATTTTCCCAGAAAAGAAGTTTCGTATCCTACTGCCACATTCCCTCCCCTCCATGGTCTGCAAAGGGCTCTTAGGAACACAGAAAAACCACTGGACTCTAGAAAATATTTTCCTTTCCCTGCTGTGTCTCAGGGTCAGAAACATGCCAAGCACACTCTCTAAACACTCTCTATGAATTATAATCCAGTCAGAATCTATACTCTTGATCTCAAAGATGTTTAAGAAACAAGACATTTGGATTTTCAGGGTATGGTGGAAGATTAGAAGCTGCCTCTGTGTGAATCCATGACTGAGAAACAAACCCCAGACTTTCTTTGAAAGAAAGAGAAGCAGTGGGATTCCGAGAGTCATCCTGCCAGTATTTTGGGTGGGAGAGATCCACCAGAAAGACTATCAGGGAGAAAAGCATGGTTAGATGTGAACATATGAAGAAATTTAAACAGTAGGGAATCTGGGCTGGGAAGGTGCAAAGGTTCTACTCTCTGAACCAAGGAGCAAACTAGATAGTGTGAGGATAACAATAAAGAATTACAAACCTAGGCCTGTGGTTAGCAAACTGCTCATTGAAAGCTCTGAGCCTAAGCACGCGGGAGCACACGGGAACATCATCCTCCCCCAACCCCAGGGTGTTTTACTGCTGGGTAGAATCTGCAGCTACTGAGACAGGAGTGCTGGCTTCTCTCAGCTCTCCTGCTCTAGTACAGAGCCCGGATCTCTACTCCCCCTGCTCTCTGGCATAGAGGAGATACTGCTTGGCTTGCACATTAGACACCCCTACACACACAAATAAAGGAATCTCAAGTGGAAACTTTCTTCCATGGGTTGCAAAGCTGTGACCAGCATGGGAAATAAGAAAGGGAAGTTTCTAAAGTGAATATAATGCCAAAAGAGCAGGCCAGCTCAGCACCGTGCTAGTATACAGCGCCAGGGTGAGTGGTAGGAAACGCCAGGGATTCCAGCTAAAAAGCATCTCTCCCTCCATCTGGAAGATTCCAAGAGATCCACATAGTCACTTCTCAATTTGCTGTTTTAGAATTAGTTTCTTTTTCTTTGGATGTTTTGGTAATTTCATTAGGCTTTCAAAGCATTTAGATAGTATTTCTCCCTCCTCCTCCTTTCAGCTACTCTGTGACCACCCAACCCTCCATCCTCTTTCCAACATTGTGTCTTCCTCTTCCTCCTCTTTTTTTTATTGATTTTTATTAAGCTCTACATTTTTCTCTGCTTCCCTCTCTGCCTCTCCCCTCTCCTCTTCAGTCCTCCCCCAAGGTTCCCATGCTCCAAATTTACTCAGGAGATCTTGTCTTTTTCTACTTTCTACTTCCCATGTAGATTAGATCTATGTAAGTCTCTCTTAGTGTCCGCATTATTGTCTATGTTCTCTGGGATGGTGGTTTGTAGGCTGGCTTTCTTTGCTTTATGTTTAAAAACCAACTATGAGTGAGTATATGTGATAATTGTCTTTCTGTGTCTGGGTTACCTCACTCAAAATAATGTTTTCTAGCTCCATCCATTTTCCTGCAAAATTCAAGCTGTTGTTATTTTTTGTTGCTGTGTAGTACTCCATTTTGTAAATGTACCACATTTTCCTTATCC